ACAGACTCTTAACAATGTAGCAAATGATATTTTACTGAATTAGAACAAACAGTAATTGCCAAGATATAATAACATCTTCAGCTTTAAAACCATGCTTTCTTGATATAAGAAAATTTCTGCCCCCGATTCATAACAGGTCCTTGTCTTTATTTAATAAAATACATCCTTTTTATGAAGATAACTTTGCAGCTATGTCTTTCAGGCCTACAAATCAACCTCTAAAATGGCAATTAAGAATTATTTTCAAAAATGAGATTTTTGCATGGGTCAGTCATCTTCAGCTTTAAAACCATGCTTTCTTGATATAAGAAAATTTCTGCCCCCGATTCATAACAGGTCCTTGTCTTTATTTAATAAAATACATCCTTTTTATGAAGATAACTTTGCAGCTATGTCTTTCAGGCCTACAAATCAACCTCTAAAATGGCAATTAAGAATTATTTTCAAAAATGAGATTTTTGCATGGGTCAGTTTGCAAACAAAAGAAATGACAAGTTTAAACAAGACTAATAATTTGCGCTACAACCTCTCTCCTTCAAATCGAGGGCACAACCAATTCTACTGCCAAGGCCATGAAGCTCTCTGCTGGATGGACTGACAGACTGTGCCTCAGTCAAAGTGGACAAAGTACGGTGGGCTAAGTGTACAATGATGGGCTTCCATCTGATGACCTTTCTGTGCCCAAAGAATACTTACTGGGCCTGCCCCCACACTTCGCCTGGTTCCCAAGGAAGGTGTGATTTCACTGAGGAAATATAACTGGCCAGAAATTCCAATCATTAAGACTTCTCCGTGACTTGACCAATTGCAAGAGTACCTTTTATTTTATTTTCTTCTTTATTTTTTTGTCATAGGGTGTGTGTGCTCACTAGCAGAGAAAGAGACAGTGAGAGGGAAATCACCTCCCAGAAGGGATGGCCATGCTATAATCCCTTCTCTTCCACTCTCCTCCTAGGATTTTGGGTATGCATTTATACACGCGTCCAGTGTCATCCTCAAGCTACTGTGTGTGGTACTCGAACCATGGTGGGCTATGTGAGAGTCTAGTGCCCTGACCACTATGGCACCTTCTGGCCCCAAGCAAGAGAAACTTTTAGTTTTTGAGATAGTTTGCTTTTCCTCTCTAAAACAACTTTACCCAAATAAAAGCACTTCTGATGGTTCTTAAACTCAAAACACAGCAGATAGCTTTATTTACATTTCAAAAAAAGGAAACAATAGATATGAGGTTTTCATTTTTACGTATTTTAATCAGTCTCTATTTCTCTTTCTAATATAATGGCACTTTAAATTAATTGAGAATTGAATGTTGGGGCCAGCAGGTGGCGCGGTGGTTAAGGTGCTGAACTCCCACATGTTCAACTGTGGTGGTGGCTTGAAAAAAAAAGAAAAAGAAGAAATAATTAAATATGTCTACCGCCGGCAGGTAGTATGGAAATGAAGGCTGCTGGATCCCACATGGAAGGCTGCATGGTTCAAGTTCCCGGCCCGAGAGCTTGGAAACCATGCTGTGTACCTGAGAGTATGTCCAAAACCCTGAGAAGAGACTGTGGCGTGGCTACCTCCCATGGGAGGTGATTTTTCACTTTCCCGCCCTCTGTCTTTCTCTGGAGAGTGCACATGCTCTTTAGCAAAAAAAAAAAAAAAAAAAAAACCAACAAAAAAACGTTAGAAGAAAAAAAAGAATTGAATGTCTAAAGCCAGCTAATATTAAAAGTCACTTTTTACATGTATGGTTTGTTTTACTTAATATGTGTGATAGCCGACCCACAAATGCTACCAGTAGATTGTAAGCTCCAGGAGAGCACTGCCTGGAGACAGGGAGAGAGAACTGACTGATTTAGAAGAACGGGCTCTTCCTATTCTTCTAGGCTTGCGATGTACATGTGACTAAAAAAATCTTTGTAAATGGTGGTTTAGAGGTCTCCAGGAGGTAAAATGCTTAATTATTAACCATTAATGTTATTAAAATATTTATATGCCTTTTAGTTCTACTTAATTGAATTTGGTACAAAGGAGAATAATGGAGGCCGTACTTGACTTGGCAGATAACAGCATTATCGGTTTATCTGAAAATACAAGGTTTTAGATGGATCCTCCTTTTGAGACCCCGAGGCTGACTACATAGATCTGTGTAAAAATTATTTGTGTTAATGGAATGCTTCTATCTTTAGCCATTATAAATGAGACAAAGTCCATGTCTCAAAATTGAACTTAATAAAAAAACTGTCACGTAAGTGACTCCCACAAAACAAGAAGGGTCTGGCAAAGTTTAGATGTACCGTAAGTGCTTTATAGTATATTTCGGTTAGAGGTGAAAAGGATTGCATAGCTATACTAATTTGCTCCTTCCCAGGTGTGTCATTTTCACTTCACAACTCAAGGCAAAAGACTGAGATGTGATTCCGGAGGAACAAGCAGCAAATAAAATGTCCAATAACATGGAAGAGACTTGTATTCACGATTTTACCTGATCTGTCCACGGACCAGAGGTCTGTTCTTTGTCCTATTCATGTTTGAGTCAAATGGCACCTCGAAAAACTATAAAAAGAAAAAGATAGAAAACATTAAACATTAGATGAATTTTTTTTGTGCTTCATAGTATTGAAAATTCTTTCACAGTAGGCTTCATTTTACTTTTGATAGTGTGAATTAATACCATGACAGTTTCTGAAGAAAAATTCTCTGGAAGAGACAATTTACAAAACCAATATGTAGTCCAGCCATGGTGGGGCCCACTGCTAAGGTACTCTATTCCACAGGCTAGGACCACATGGGAGGCCTAGGTTCTACCCCTGGTGCAACCTAAGGGGCTAGGCAAGGTGGTGTGTGCCTTTGATCCCAACAACTCACGGATGCTGAGGCAGGAGGATCTTGAACTTGAGGCCGGCCTGGGCAACAAACCAAGATCCTCCCTGAAAAAGACTCAGGCATGGTGGTAGCTGCATCTGGGAGGCTGAGGCAGGAGGATCATGACACAGCAAGACTCTGCCTTTAAAAAAGAAAATAACCAGGGAGCCAGCAGTTAGCGTAATTGCTATGTCGCTGGACTCCCACGTAGTCGACCACAGTTTGCGTCCCAGACCCGGTGGCTTAAAACTCACGCCGGGCGCGTGTGCGTGCATGCCCAAGATCCCGAGAGGAGAATGGAGAAGGAATTATGGCATGACCATCCCCCCTGGGGGCTGATTTCTTGCTTTCTGTTTCTATGTCTCTCTCTGTCTGTCTGGCGAGCGCATGTGCCCTATACCGAACCCCCCTCCCAAAAAAAAACCCCAAAAAACAATATACGTAAATTGTTAGGAATATCTACTCTTATTCACTTTAAAAATCATTTGTAAAATATAAATACATTCTTTAAAACCAACAATTAGGTTTAAAACGTCATGATTTCAGAATCCTTCATACATCCTGAAGCCTCTGAATCAAACAAGAATCAATTAACACTGGGGACTGGGCTACTAAAGTCAAGAACTAGGAGTGAAGTAATTAAGATCTCAGATAAAACCGTACATAACTTTTGAGGTTAGGCTGCGATTAGAGTTTCTGTTCTATTTTGTCTGAGAAGGTTCCAGTACACACTGGTGGTGCCAGCATCATCAACAGCAACTCCTTTCACATTAAAAGCTCTCCAACTCAGACAACAGATTGATACAGCCACCCAAAAATGAAGTATGGTTTCAGCTGTTTACTTATTAAAAGACAAGGTCCAAATGATTGTGAAAACTCATTTTCCAGAGACTTGGCAAACTGCACATGTTCTAAACTTGTTATCAGTCTCTTGTCACTTTTTTTGGTACAAGAGAGTGCTCAAAAACTGTGCTGATCAGGTTATTATTTGAGAATATCTTTTACTAAATGGACTTGAAGCACATCAATAGATGGAACAATAATTCAATGGAAGGTCTAAGTCAGTTTTCCTCCAACTACATTCACCAGCTGTTCCCGGAAAGAATGACTTGACGGTCACATCATATTTGTCCAATAAAGGCTCTGAGAAATCCCCAAATGAGGAAACCTAATTAATATTGCTAAATGCATTTCCCAAATTTATTTGTCCACAAAATCTTTTTTTCAAGAAAAACATCTTGAATAGATTTCAGAAACATGTGGTCTGAGTCCAGTCAAGTGATAGGAGTAATTTTTTACCCATGTCTATAAGGATCATTGTTCTTTGTATAGTGTACTGTGTACTCAGTAGGTGTTCCACAGATCCTAGAGAAAAAATCATGAGTGCTGAAAAGACACAGTCTGGAAATAAGTAACACTAACCCTCTGGTATTATTTATTAATAAGTAAATGTTAAAAGTGAAGGAAAACTGTGTCAGTCCTGCAGTACAATAGTTAGGTGCTCTGCCTACCATGGTTCGAGTCCCAGCCCCAGCAGCTTAAAAAACATGTTGGGTGCATATGCGTACCCCAAATACTGACAAGATGGAGAAACGGAGAAAAGGACTACAGTATGACCATGTCCTAAGGGGGGGACGGATGGGCTGCTTTCTCTCCCCACCCTCTCTCTAGAGAGTACACATCCCACTGGCAATTTAAAAACTGAAAAAAGAGAAAGAAAATTTTATCACGAATTATTTGAGAAAGCTAAAATGTATCCTTATAGGTGAAAACATCTGGCAAGTTGTGTTCTGTTTAGTTTTCTAAAAAAATTGACCTGTTTTCTTTCCCTTTATCCTATGCTACAAGACTATCTTTTAAATTTTTTAAATGGTGTCTTAATGTTTCTAAACACAATTATATCCTCCCCTATAATCACTTTTTTCCTCCTCTTATCCCTAGCAGGTTACTGTATTCACTTCACACACAACACTCTGGGTAGTTAGCCATAGTAGGGAATCCCTGTCACAGGAAGTATTGAGTAGCCCTGGTTGTTCACACGTGGCTCTTAATGACTATCCAGTTACAGTTCATTTAACCAATGGTCAAGCATCTGGGATTCTTAGATGTTTAAATTAAAACCACACACCAATCATGATAACCACCACTACTGCTACAGTATTAAGAGATCACACATTACGCATAATTACAGGAATAAGAGACATCCTTCTCCTGATCATAACCTTCATGAAGGATGGGCTATGCACATTAAACACCTTACACATACTGTAAAAAGAAGGGTACACAATGTGGAATTTCAGAGCTTCCTGGGCACTGCTGCAGCCCAAACATGTGGCTGTAGTCCAGGGTAAGAAACTAAATGTCTGGGGCTGTGCACCGCCGCACCTGAGCTACCTGAGGCCACAGTGGCATGTGAAGACCCCAGAGCAGGAGATCGCAGTGCTTACTCTGCAGGTGGCACTTTGAATTGGCTTTTGTTACAAGCAACTGTGGCAGCTGCTGAGTTTTTAAAATCAACTGAAGAGTATTCCCCTTGCTAGATATATGTATGTGATTATTCCTATAGAACCAGTCCCTGAAGTAGGCCCCTCCTTTTCTTTTTATCTTTTATTATTATTATTTTTTTTAATAAAAAAGAGTTTTGCTATAGGGCACATGCACTTGCCAGAGAGACAAAGAAACAAAAAGTGATAAATCACTCCTGGGAAAGATGGTCACACTGCAATTCCTTCTCTTCTTGGGATATTAAGCACACACACACATATGTGCCCAGCATGAGTTTTAAGTTGCTGGGTCTGGGACTCAAACCATAATCTACTACATGGGACTTCAGCAATGTAACCTTTACGCCATCTACTAGTCTCCTTTAAATTATTTTTAAAACATATTTTAAGTATTACAATTTGTGTATTCTTCCAAAGTTAACTTCAGCAATTTTTTATATTTTAAAATTTACATTTAATCACTGTACATCTTTACAGGGTACACTGTATATTTTCCCAGCCTTAATACAGTGCATATGAGTCAAGTCAAAGATATTAACATATAAATTATCAATAGATAACTTTTCACTTTTGTGTCAGTTAAATGTCTTGTTTTTTCCCTGATCCCCTCTCCCCTAAACCTTATACCCATCCCTTCCTATACTGTCTCAAGTTAATCTACAGTTGCCCTCCCTGCTATTACACCTTCCTATCTTTCAGTTTCTACTATAGAGTGCAGCCATTCAGTATATATTAGGCAGGGACATAAAGTATCTGTATTTCATAGTCTGGCTTGCTTTGCTTAGCATTAAATCTTCTATTTCGTGCATTTTGTATCAAATATCAGAGTCTCATTGTGGTTTTTTTTTTTGATGGCTGAGTAGTATTTCATATATGTATATGTGCCACATTTTTTCAACCCACTTGTCTGTTTTGGATATCTGAGTCGATCCTCTGTCCTAGCAGTTCTGAATAATGCTGCAATAAACATGGATGTGCAAATGTTTTTCAGTTTTCTACCCTTTGGGCAGATATCTAAAAATGGAATTACTGGGTTGTATGAAAGTTCTTTTTGTAGTTTTCTAAGGGACCTCCATATTGTTTTACACAGTGTTGAACTAATTTATATTCTCACTAACCATGTAGGAGGGTTCCATTTTCACCAGTCTTGCCAGCATTATCATTCATAATTTTTAAATCTTAGCCATTCTGACTGGGGTTGAGTGGACTCTCACTGTGGTTTTGATTTGCATGTCTCTTATAAGAAATGTTGAGAATTTTTTCATATTTGTTTTGGTCATTCATGTCTTCCTTTGAGAGTGTCTGTTTAGCTCATATGCCCTTTGTTTAATTGGCTTACAACCCCCCCCCACCGGCCAGGTAAGCTGCTTTAGTTCCCTGTATATTCTAGCTATCAGTCCCTTATGTGAGACACAGTTTGCAAATATATTCTCTAATTCTGAGGGTTGTCACTTACCTCTAATTATTGTTTCTTTTGTTGTGCAGAAGCTTTTTAGCCTGAAGTACTTCCATTTTATTTTAGGGATTATTGCTTGTGCTTTGGGGGATCTTATTTAAGAAGTCTTTGCCTACTCTGATGTCTCCAAGAGTTTTTCGTGTTTTTGACCCCTATGTTTATAGTTTGAGGTTTTATATTTAGATTTTTAATACCATTTGTAGTTTTATTAATGGAGAGAGATAGAGGCCCAGTTTCATTTTTATGCAAGTGAATATACAGTTTTTCCAGCACCATTTGCTGAAGGGATTCCCTCCCGCCACTGGACTGTCTTGAGCCCTATGTCAAAAATCAATTGGCTGGGGGACCAGCAGTTAGTGTAATGGCTATGTCGCTGGACTCCCATGTAGTTGACCGCGGTTTGCGTCCCGGACCTGGTGCCTTAAAACTTACGCCGGGCACATGTGTATGCGTGTCCAAGATCCTGAGAGGAGAATGGAGGAGAAGGGACTGCGGTGTGGCCATCCCCCGTGGGGGGTGATTTCTTGCTTTCTGTCTCTCTGTCTCTGTCTGTCTATCTGGCTAGCGCATGTGCCCTACAGCAAAAACCTCCCCCCCCCCCAAAAAAAAAATCAATTGGTTGGGGGCTGGACACTGTGGCTAAGGGTGCTGGATTCCCACATGACCGACCATGATTCTAATCCTGGACCTGGCGGCCTGCTTCCTCCATTTCTATCTCTCTCTGTGTCTCT